GGTGTTCTGCGGGCGGGTGCTGGGCATGGTCAACACTGAGGACGTCAACGCCATCATCCTGGCCCAGAAAAACATGTGAGTCCCGGGACAACTGGCCCATGGGGACCCCAGTACTGGCACCGGGAGCCTCCCGGGATCTTTGCCGAGCTCCGTCTGCTTCCTCCGCGCAGGCTGGATCGATTCGAGAAAACCAATGAGATGCTGCTCAACTTCAACAACCTCTCCAGTGTCCGCATGCAGCAGATGAACGAGCGTTTCCTCCACCACACCAAGACGCTGGTGGAAATGAAGAAGGATCTGGACAGCATCTTCCGGAGGATCCGGTAGGCAACGGGAACGGGGATGGGAACATTGCTGCCGGCAGGGAGGGAGACAGCGTGGAGAGTGCAGGGTGGCTTGTCGAGGTCTGGGTGGGCTGTGGGAGCATGAAAGCGGGACACAAGTAGGAGCTTGGGGTAGTATTGAAAGTAAAAATAGTTGGCGAGGTGAAAGTGTGCAGGCAAGCAAGGCATGGAGGTAGCAGGAGAGGAGCTGTGGGGGCTGGAGCTTGAGGATTCCTCAATTCTGCTCCAGCTGGGATGGTCTGTGCTCCCTCAGGGCAGCAGGAGGGACGTGGCGCTGGCGCTGCTCGGGACAGTTACGAAATGCGGGACTCGGGGAAACACCCAATGTGCTGAGAGGGGCCAAGGGAGCGCTTGGGGGCCAGGGAGAGAGCCCCTCGGCCCGAAGAATCCCCTGGGATTCATTTGCGTTGTCCGTAAATGCTGGAGAGCGGCAGCTCAGCTCTGGGTCTCTCCGCTTCCCCGTGCACTTAGCTCGCTCTCTCCTCCCCTAGGACGCTGAAAGGGAAGCTGGCGAAGCAGTACCCGGAGGCTTTCAGCAGTGAGTGATTCCTTCCGACATGTGGATTTTCCGTCGGTTTTCTTCCCAGGCTGAGTTCCCTTTTCCCAAGAACATGTGAGGCGACTCTGGGGAGTCGGGAGAAGCTAACGAGATGTCCAGGAGTGCATTGGCGCGTGGCTGCTGCGCTAAAAGCCTGAAAAGCTGCTTGGTTATATTAAATGCAGTTACAAGAAGTTACAAATGGCTAATAATTCATGTGACAATGTTTTTTTATTGATTACTGCTACAAGCAGACAATATTTAGAATTAGAAATTGTTCTGCTGGGGTGTCTTTTGTATCTGGCATTGCACCAGCTGTGCCTCATTTCGTGTGGCCGCAGCAGCAAAACTAACATTTGCATCTTCCCTTCCAGACATCCACGAATCTCCCATCCTAGAAGACGATGATGACTTCGACCCCGTCCCGAAAAGCACGACAACCACCATCGCTACCTCTGAGCAGAGCACGGAGTCCTGCGACACGAGCCCTGACATCATCTCTCCCACCATGAGTCAGGATTTTGAGGATTTATCCCAAGGCCAGTACGATTTACCGGCCGTGAATGGACAGAGTCTCACAGATGAAGACACGGCCAACGACCTGGACTAGGTGTGCGGGTCCTGCGCTGCTGCTGCTCACCCCCGGAGAACTTTCTATCCTGTATTTATATTTGTGTGTTTCTTTTTTCGGGAAGAGGGAAGCGAAGGCTGGGAGCAGCGATGGCTGCGTGAAGAAGGGTGCCCTTCTGCCTCTAAACTGCCACCGTAGTGTAAACCCCGCGATTCGCTTCGGGGTGAATAAGTAAAACGTGGGTTTGAAAACACCTCTAGTCCTTTCTTGTTTGTGCGGTCAGGAGAGCGGCAAGACTCCACCTTTGCCGTAGACTTTGGCGCAGAAGAGCCGGTTGGGGGCACGGGTGTTTTTTCTTAAGGAACGCTGTCTTTGAGGCTCGCGTGGGCACGCTCCAGCTTTCCTGCGGGTCTGTCCGTGCCGCTCATGGACTCGTGCTGGCTGCCTCCCCACAGCC